AAAACATGATGTTACTAAAATTCTAACTTGCCCTGTTCCAGTTACACTGTAATAGTTTTAAAATATATATCAATTTCAGCAGAAGAAATGCCTTTGTAAAGAAGCTGTTATGAGGAGCCCATGGCTTGCTGTCACTAGGAAAGTTAGTTAGATTAAAGTCGATGGCGATCAGATCAAAAATCACAAAGCTTCTGTAAATTTGGACGGTAATGCTACTATTAGAAGCGAGCAAGGTTTAATTAAATATAGCTCGAGATTCGTTCTACTCTATTTGGTCAAAACAACAACGAAACATAGGAATATGTTAATTCTTAGCTGACGATTTAAAGAAATATTTTAGTCTTTTTTTCAAATTCTTTTAAATTTCTTTTGCATTTTCATTTAAAAAGAGGCAATTAAATCAACTCAAAATCCCTTTATTTTCTCGCTGATACCAACATTGTACACGTAATGTAGCACTAGTTAGCGAAGCCTAATTACATATCGTTTTTCTTTTAAAAAAATCTTCTTGAGTAGTAATCCTTGTCCATATTGGAGTTAACAGGTAAAAAGTACAATGAAAATTTCTTTCCTCATTTTATTTTTGACGTCGAATCACTGAGTTGAATAGTATCTCCAGAATTTAACTTAATTGAAGCAAAACTACATATTTTAATGGATGTATTTCGTGCGAGTTTTAGTGTCATCCATTTTTCCAAGTAAAGAATAATTTTCCTTAGAAACTGGGAAAAGTTCCCTATTTGCCTTAGATAACCGTTGCCTTGTAATCAGATCATCACATCTTGCTGAAATTATTCCGTCAAATTTCATCTGGCCAGTAATGCAAGCTTTTAAAGAAAATGCATTAGCCAAAACCGTTTGACTCATGAATAATATGGCTTTTTATTTAACTTGAGCCGCCATCATAGACAAAAAGTCTAAAAAAATCTTCGGGTTTTTTTGACCATTGACACCAGATGCTTTCAATTGACTTGAACCCGGCGACACTGAGAAGTGAAATTAGCAACTTCATTCGTAAACAGGATTAAGACGTTCCACGCCCTTTCCTTTTACAAGGAAAATGATCAAAGTTTGCTGATTACTAAGAGGACCGTCAATCGCTTTCGATCGCTTGCTGAAGAACAAAAAAAATAATGCAAATTTTTATATGATGGGAATGTGCCAGAACGTCCGCATGATAATGCTAGTGGTACAATAGTAATCTTGAAATTATTGCAGCATTTTTCAAATTTGTCGAGCGTGACCCACGTTAATTTTTCGGATCTTGATCTATTTTGTTTCGTTTTTGTTTTGTTTTTTTTTACTTAGAATTTATGTTTATCTTATTTAATAAACGGTTCTGTCGATGTTTCCTTGGATTATACGGTAAGTTTGTACACGACGAAAATGTCACAAAAGACTCCGACATTTTCGAATTAAAGTTACAAGAAAACAAATTCAAACAAACTAACCAGTAGCCTTCAAACGTAAATCAAAGGAAATATGGGTCTTGACTTTAAATTTTGCTGGTGAAGGCGTGAAATCAGGCAAATATTTTTGGCAAACTTCGCAGTTCCTAACAAACCACTTATGCCACGTTGTATACGAACTGGACGTTGATAAATTGTATTTAAGTCCAGATTTACAGAAAGAACTCTTTCGTGTCATAAGCGAATACAGGATCAACGACAAGGAAAAGATTAATTACATTAAAAAGCTCCTAGCCTCTCTTGACGTTACCCAAAACAAGGAGAACACGCCCCTTCAGGTAATAAATATTCTCCCTAAAGGTAGCTCTTTAAGTTAGTGGTTTATTTAAAGTAAACAAGAGGAATTTTTGTTCGACGCAATCAAAGCGGAATAAGTTGCAAAGAAAGTTTTAAGACCGTACTATCGGTCGGAAGATGAAACTCTTTCGTGGCACTTTGGTCGAACTATATTATGGGAAGTAATGAAAAAAAGCGTGATATGCCAAATTAAAATAGGTGAAATTCATGGGTATATATCTCAATCATATTGTGCTCATCCTCTCCCGAGACAAAAAAAATGATTTGTATACTGGGGATATTTGATTTGATTAATGACTTCTGAAAGGTTTTCGTTGTTAATGCTAGAGACATACTGTAGACGTAATATATGAAGCCAATGCTTGATGTAAAATCCGTTTATAAACAGTGGACCTAAAAACTCAAAACTCCTTTGCCCTTAGATGGACATAGGCAATTTGTAGTCAGAAAAATTTTTTTTTTTATCGCAAAGAATAAGTGGATGGCTGGTACCTTTTGGTTGAGGCCTTTTCTATCTAGTTTCCTCGAAAGTTTTCTGTTTCTTATCAGTTTTGTTTTGTATTCTTTTTTCATGCAGAATCACTTTGTTTCAGTAATTTTTGGACATTTCAATCTGAGTATCTTGATTTTTATATGTGTTTATTTATTTATTTGGTTATTTATTTATTTATTTATTTCTGCATTTGATAAGTTCGATTATTTGTTGTTGTCGGTGCAAAACAATAAAACTTGTGGAGTCTTTTGTCAAATCAAATGAACGTCCACCTAAATACGTTAAACCTGATAAAAACTGTCAATTGTTACTTGATTCTTAGCGTTAATACCATTCTAAGTTCATTAACTGTAAGTTAATGAATTGAAAAGGCGTTTGTCTAGATTGTTTGCAAGATTTAGGCATTGATTTCAAAACAAAAGACTAATCTTCTGCATTTTGAGTGACGTAGATCATAAAACTACCGAAACCCATTAACCAACAAATAAAAAAGGAAAATTACTATAATGAAATCTATTTAAACCCTTTTAAACGATATATTTGCTCAGGAGATGGACCTAATGGCAGACGGTAATTTACTTTCAAAGCTGGTTTTATCTGCCAGTGAAATATTGCAACCCTAAAAACAAATTACACTCTCTTTTAATCAGTTGTGCAAATGTTTTGGGATTTCTGGTAAGAAAAAATTAGATGTAAAGCAAATGACTATAGTATGCTATGACAAGTTGTAGGCTTTAATGACGCTAAAAGAGAAAAATTTGGCCCGGCAGAAATTTTCTGTCATTTGTCCCTTACCAAGAAAAAGATATCACGAATTACTTGCATTTTGAAATGAAATGTTAAAAATCCGGGAATTTGTTTTAGTTAAACCGGACGAACAAAATAAACTACCACGATTTTTAAAAAAAAAAAACTTCATTGACGGCTAAATAGTATCGCAAATTAATTTCGCGATTATTTTAGGATAAGAGTCGGTAGACTAAAAACGAAAAGAAACCCCCGACTTTCTGCGGTTTAATCACGTTAAGTCACTAGCGATAAAAATAAACTAAGTTTCTTTACATAAATTTGGTTTTTGATTCGTAAACTTAAAAGCTGTAGAACGGCTAAACCATGTTATTGAATTCAGACTAGAATTTAAGAAGCTATCGACGACAAAGGCTAAACTGACCACAGGGGTAAAGGAATCAAGTTATGAAACATGAAAGGATATTGTCGGCGGCGGGACAATCAGCTAAGAAACGACAAAACAGAAGAGGATAATCTGTTTTAATTAACGTAGATGGAATCTGCTTTATCGCACAGGCTTGCGCCACCTAAATTGAAATCTGTTCAGCCCTTTCATGCATAAAGTCAAATTGCGCGTTCACATCCCAGTAGTTATTATACGAATCGGCATTAAATATTATACTTAGAAAAGTCTCCTACCTGAATAATGTGCCACTTATTATATGACAAGAAACTGTCCTAACCAGTCGGTTTTACGAAGGATTTCGATGGATTCGCCCCAATTCAACGTTGCAGTTAATGGTTGCCGTGCTGTACTAGTTATCGGTGAAACGGCTTTGTTGTCAGCGGTTGCTTCCTTAATTCTATTGGTTTTCATCCGCTTTGAGCGTTAAACTAGCTGGAGACTGGGCGCAAGTGGCTGAGAAACAGCAACCATGAGAAGAAAATTAAACAAAGCAAGCTAAAGACAGCTGGTTTGACACAACATTTTTTTCTAATATCGAATGTAACGCTCCAGGCTGAAGGTTCAAGAAATTCCCTACGCTATTTAAAGAACTGAAGCAACGACATTAAGATTGACTGATTTAAACTAAACCAATTTGTGGCGTTCCGTAGAATTCTAGAAAATATAGGTCCTTAGCCAACAATTTTATAATTTATTTGTAGTTGAACATTGTCTTAAGTTTGATATATCTCAGACACTGAGAAGCAAACTGATAATATCACATCAGTTTTTTAAACAAAAAATAGACGGCATCTCCGACAAGGTTGTGTAAACTTTTCTTGACGAATAGACCTTAACAAATGAACGTGGTTGTTACCTGATTCCCATGACAGCAAATTTCCGTTCCACGGCAAATTGAGCATCTGCTTTCAGTTTTAATCATCGGCTGATTCTCAGTCGGTACAATAACAAAAAGTTTAATTTACCGGAAATTTTTTCTTGTCTCGCACAGTAGACGAGTGAATTAAACAGTTTCAATGAACTTGTGTAAGCTCCATTCTTTGATACAAGAGTACGTTACCGGTAGTGATCTCTAGTTTACAAAATCGACGACGATTAAACCAGTAGTGGATCTAGGGGAGGGACCCGGGGATCCCCCCCCCCCTTTTTTGGGTGAAAAAAAAGAAGAAATGACTGAAGGAAAAAAAGCCAGCAGGGCAAGTAAAAATCTTAATGTACTTTGGAAAATCTCTAAACAATACCAGAGATTAATACAGATTGTAACAGTAGACAGACAATTCACGGCAGAAAAAAAATCCTTCGTCTTGAAATAAGTGTATACCGAGTATAACGACGTAGATTGAATTTCTGCTAAATTATAAGAAAAAAACTTACCTCTCATAATGTAGGAAAGTCGCGTAACCTGAGTTATTACACTGCATCTAATGCTAATTACTTCAAATTCATATTCATCAGTGTGCTTTATTGAAATTATTGTTGCTTCCAGGAAAACTCCTTATCTAGCGTTATTAACATTGAGTTATTGCCAATTGTTTGCAGTGCAGGAAACACCTAAACAGGCAAAGCGCCAGTCTTGAAAACAAATTGGTTAAAACGGGTGTTAATTATAAACTGAAAGTCTTCGTGGCTTGGCAAAAGGGCAAAATGACTAAATTTTCTCTTTTGTTAGCTTGATACTTAACAAGAAAAGCATACAAAAGAATTTTACTTTTTTTCAAATAGATTTTGGAGAGCTTTCGATTAGCTTCCGATTTTCTGGCTGACTGCCGAGTTGCTAGGTTACAGGTTAACCATTGTGTAATAGGTAATTGCACAACATGGTCGAATCACCTTTGGCCGAAGAAGAGAAAGAGTGTTGTTTTTACCTAAAAACATGATTTGCCCTGCCAAAGCGTTTGTTTTTTAGTTGTTACAGAGTAAAATTTTCACCCTTCGGGTTTGCAAGAGTATAATTTTTACCGGACATCTCAGTAGTATGTCTAAAAAACTGTTTTCAAAAACTGTTGACATTTTAAATCAACATATCTTGTCGTGAGTCAAACACTTTGCGCCAGATGAACTCACCTGTACGTGAATTTTTATTCGATTAAAAAAAATCTTTCACATGGGAACCCTCGCGCTCTGAATCCTCACTTATGTCATTGCCTGTAAGCCATATACGCTCCTCGGCGCATGTATTCTCTAAACTGAACCTGTCTTGCATGTGTTGTTTTGTTGCTCAACTATCAACAGCACCCGTCTTTCTCTGAAGCGGTACGCGCGCTCCAACACTATGACGTCATGCTTTGGCGAGTCTCTGTTGAAGATCAAAGATGGCGATTTTGGAGCCAACATGACTGACTTATACAATCATGAATGCTATGAAGGATTCTTAGAAGGTGAGCTAAATTTCAAAATTCATGTTTCTTCTACCGAACAATTAATTTCAATATTCTTACAGGCGCAAAAGCGCTCGCTGCGAGGGTCAAACCAGTAAATATTCCAATTTGTCACCCCCGGTGGACTGTCATGATTTTGATTCAAATTTCCAAGGGTATTATTTCCGCATTTTTAGTAGATTTTTTAAAGCAAATAATGGCTGTTAGTTTTCTTCGATTCCTCTTCAATTCGATGTCTTTAAGGTACCCGACATGGCTAAAAGCGCTTTCCTGTGGTTATATTGTTTGATTCTCATTCAACCTGTGGTTTGTATGTTCACTCATGATTTCCGAATAAACCTTCCTAGACTGTATCTGAAAATAGACACCAATCTTCTTCTTTACTATGATGGTTCTGTTGAAGCTTTAACTCTTGAAATATCTCCATTTTAAACTGGTAGCGACGATCGCGAAGTACCGTGGTCAACAATCGTGAACTTTATCTCTTCTTTGCTTCAATCCATGATTTGATTTTCGTATGTTGAAAATCATAATTAAACCAGTTGATACGTCTTCGACATAGACGGAAGATCAAACTCTTTTAGCGTGCATCATAAAAAAAGAAACTTTAATCGTACAAAGCGCCCGCAACTCTTTAAAGATTTGCACTACTTCTTAAAATCAAGAGGGCGCCTTAATTAAATTAGAGAGACAGAAAAGTAACGCTCAGTGTCATCATAATAAAAGAAGTCGTTAAAATCTAATGAATGTCGATATTTTTCAAGTTAACTTAACTATTGTGTAATTAGTTCTGTGTAAAGCTCGAGCCGAGTGCAGGAGTGCGAGTGTCGGCCTACAACAATACACAGGGTAAAACTAAGGATGTGTTTCTATGAGAGATCACTCTTAGTAGGGCAAGCGTACTGAAGGCCACGGGAAGGAGGAATTAAAGGAAAAAATATAACTTTATATAAACTGAAAAAGAACAGATTTAATGGCCAAAGTTTTGACCAGCGCAATTTGTCTTCAGCAGCAAGCTGAAAATTAGTCTAAATATTAGGCAATAAACCTAGCTACTTTACTATATTGCCGCAGCACTAGCCTCGAGGGAGAATTTTTCACTGGAAATTGTTTCTTGTTTCCAATTGCATTGTACTATTTAGAGTGCTTCAATCCAAGCGCGCAGCAAATAAATATTGAGCTATTCGTGCACGGTCTGTTCGTTTGTTTTTGTAGGTCTTGTAATTTTCCAGTGCTTTAGCCATAATCTCCATTTACCAGCTTTGTGACTGCAGGATAGCGTACCTATTTGCGCTTGCTGTGTTGTCAGTCTTGCTGCGCATGCCTGCATCCAATGTCCTCATAAAGTGTCTTAAAAATAGTACTTCTTTTTAATAAACTTTTCACGATAATGATAATTTATGCGATACGTCAACGAGCGAGAGCGGACAATTTGACAATTTTTATCTTAAAAATAAAAATCAACGTCAGTTTTTAATGTCAAAGTAGTCTGCGGATCCACTCGGCTATCGCCAGGTGATGCACAGCTGTTTTGACAATGTTATGACGAAATTCATGATCAATAACAGGACAGACGTACGAAAAACTGACGTCAATTTGTTAAATCGCACTGTTTCTTTGCACTGAGCATTACTTGGCACACTGTTTTTATAAAACTGCTCTTATAAAACTGCTGTTTCAGTTCTATTTATTTTTTCATTTTTATCAAGACGAGAGACGTTGAAGGAGGCACTGTCCAGCCATGCACCTGAGATGTGTGTGTGTTTTATTATTAGTGGGTGTCAACGTCACATGGGCTGGACTGACACGTGAGTTATCTTCCTGCTTCTCATTGGTCAATTTTAAGATCAGTGAAGGACATAACACTGCCCTTGTTTGTATCGTAATTTTTACCATTTTAAGGTTTTCACCCACTGTAAAGATCCATGTAAAGGTCAAAAAGTTTTGCTTTGTTCGATAATTATTTCTTCAAACTTACTGTATACATATTTGTGTTTTATTTTAGAGGATTTTAATCAAGTATTCTATCTCGGTTTTGATCGATACAATGGAGATCGTGTTTATGATGATTCATTGCACAACAACAATGCAACCCTCAAGTCTGCTTTCTTAGATAAAATACCCGGCAGCTGTGGCATGTGCGCCAGGGTGTGTTGTGGGGGAACTATTCCTATAGATGGAGCTAAGTTCATTGGTAAGTACTATCGATAATAATTTTAATGGTAATCGTTCTTAAAGACATTGTGATGAAAAAATATAGTTTGCGTATGAGTTGATTGTTTGCTGACTGACTGACTGACTGACTGACTGAC